CTCTGATGCTTCCCCCTCTTGTGCTCTCTCTCTCATTCTCTCTCTCTCAAATAAAATCTTAAAAAAAAAGAAAAAAAGAGAGAGAGAGAGAGAAACTCTTCCTAAATACCCCAAAGAACCAGGACCATGGGGCCAACCTCCAGGAGAGCCAGCTGGAGGTTCTGCTCCTCCCTCTCCCTCCACCCTGAAAACAGGATTCTTGGACCTGATAGCCAGTCCAAGTCCTCAGGGCACAGTTGGGAGGGAGGTGATTGAAGATGTGGTCTCTGGGGATATGTCCTCTTCTGTCCAGGGCCTGGGTAAGGTGCCTGGACTCACCTTGCCTAGAGTGCTGGCAGATGTTCTCGGGCTCTTGGCCTTGGTTTCTGGAGTTTGACTAGTGTCCTACTCTGGGGTAATCTTTTTTCTCTTTAGAGCTGTGAGGTCAGAGATTAAGGTTGGAGTGCTGGGGTGGGAGAAAACACCACTGAAATACTTTGATTCTGCAAACCTTTGAGATTTCGTAGTCTAGGAAAAGGCCACCAGCCTAACTCCTGGCATCTACATTGGGGCTTGGGGTACTTAGCCCAATGATGAACTCACCCTGTGGATCAGCTAGCTAGTGAAGGACACCAGTACCTCTAGGTCAGGGGTTTCTAACTTTTCTCTGTGCCATAGACCCCTTTGGTGGTCTGGTGAAACCTAGGGACCCCTTTTTAGATTTTTTTCCCAACATCGTAATATGAAGAGTTGAATTTTGCAATTGTGAACACCTGTCTACCCACCATCTAGTTTCTTCCATTTACATTTTACACTAGGCTTGCCTTATCACATATTTTCCCATCTATTCATCTATCAGCTTGTTTTCAAAAACATACAATAAAAGTTTACAAATAACCAATTATATTGAAATACAATGATCAGAATATTTAAAAATTCTTATGGAGATACATGTGCTTCTTTATTAAAGTGTTAAAGCAGCAGGCCTAATAACTACCCTTCTTTCAAGGTAGTGATGAACTTAAAATGTATTTTGAGATATCTGCGATAACTGTAATGTGGGAAGATAGCTGTAACTTCTATTGGTGCCAAGATACAGATATTTCTAATACTGCTATGGTTTGTTGCCTACATTCCTAATTAAAGGAAATGTTAAATTTCAGTTAAAGAGCAGGAAAAAAATAGGTAACATATTTTTCATCCGACTTCACAGATCTCCTATGTTATATGTTCTGGTCCATTTAAGAAAAGCAGTGTCCTACCCTG